GGGCTCGATCCCCAGTGTGGGGCGTGCAGGAGGCAGCCGACCCATGATTCTCTCTCATCATTGATGTGTGTCTCTCTCCCCCTCTCCCTTCCTCTCTGAAATCAATAAAAATAAATAAATAAGAATAAAATGCAAATTGGGCCCAGCCGGTGTGGCTCAGTGAGCTTCGACCTATGAACCAGGAGGTCAGGGCTCGATCCCCAGTGTGGGGCGTGCAGGAGGCAGCCGATCCATGATTCTCTCTCATCATTGATGTGTGTCTCTCTCCCCCTCTCCCTTCCTCTCTGACATATATACAAATATCTTTAAAAAAAACATTTAAAACTGTGAATTGCGTCCTGTCCTCCCTCCAGCCGAAAGGAGGCTGCTTTGCCCTGAGGACAAAGACCGAGTCTTCAGTGATTCCCAAAGCCTCCCCGTGCAATCGCACCGCACCCCCCCCAGTCCCAGCACCCCCAGCCCCCCACTCTCGGCCGGACCCCCGGGGCCTGAGGGGCCTGGTCTGTGCACCTGTGTGTTCCGGGCCCCACACGGGGCAGGTGCTCGGCGTGTATTTGCTGAATTAACTGAACACCTGCCCCTGACCCACAGGATTGGGAACCTGGGGTGCGGGGGGGGGCACCCAGTCCACGCATCCACACACACCCCCCGTCCCCCCGAGAGCACACGGCTCTTTGCTCACCAGGACGGGGGACCCTCAGTGTCCCCTTGAAGGCAGCACGGACCCCGTTTCCTTGACGTCCTTTGAAGCCTCGATGGAGCCTGGCCACACCCAGCCCTCCGTCCGCACCTGGAGAGCAGGTGGCTTTGTCACCTCGTCTCCTGTCCTCCACTCTCAGGAAGAGGATCTGGGACCAGCCCGGCCACCCCCAGCTCCCCCCTTCCCTCCCCTCCCCTCCAACCCGCCATCTGCCCAGCTGGCCGGATCTCCCCTCCTGTCCCGAGAAAGCTCCCCTCCCCCAGGAAGGCCTCCTGGCTGCACGACTCCCAGGGCCTCCTTCCGTGGAGTGGAGTGGACCCTCCCCCTCGGGTGGTGGTGTCTGTGGGGTCCCGCCCTCTGGCCCGTCTGGGACTGGGACTCGATCCCCACCTGTGGGGCCTGTGTGGGGGCGCGTTGGGCTGCAAGTCCCAGGGGGACCGGCGGCTTTTATGCGTCTGTGTGACTTAGCGAGATCCGGGGTCCCCGGGGACCGGCTTAGCTGTAAAGCTGGGGCCTCGGATAACCAGACGCCCCCGCGGAGGGGGGTCATCCAAGTGGCACAGCCCGAAGCAAACACCCCTAAGCCGGCCCGGTGGCCTGGTGACAAGCCGAGAGCTTTGCAAGGCCAGGCGTTGGAGGAACCAGATGTCCCGGGACCCTCCTTCCATCGCTGACCTCCGGGAGGCGGGGGCCCTACGCCTGGGGGGCCTTGTCCTGCCAAGCCCGGCTGGAGGAGGAGGAGGAGGAGGAGGGAGGCGGGGCCAGTGGGAGGGGCCGAGGAAGCCCAAAACAGCCGGCCGCGGTGACCTACATCTGCCCCAGCCCTGCCCGTCCACCTCAGTCCCTGCAGAGCCTCAGGCCGGAGCGGCAGCTGGACGCGGAGGAGGAGGCGGAGGAGGAGGAGGTGGACAGGAGGTGGGAGGCCAGCTGTGTGCACAGGTGAGTGGGCCCTGCCCACCTGGCTGCCCACCTGGGGTGGGGGCCGGGCACCGAGGTGGACACCTGAGTGCTCTCCAGCCTGTCCCCTGGCGAAGGGGTGGGCAGAGGGCAGGAGGTTCGCCCGGGGACATCCCCTGGCGGCCAGTCACGCCCCGGGGTGCGTGGTCCCCCGTCTGGGCAGCGGTCCGGTCTGGGTGCTCCCCTCTGGGCTCCCCGTGGCTGAGGGCGAGAAACAGAGAGCAGGTTAAAGGTCAGGCGAGCTGTCCAGCATGAGAGAAGCCTCATCGGGGGGCTGGAATGTGGACACGAGTGTTCATCCCCCCCCAACCCCAGCCGTCCAGCGGAGGCCACGGTTCACGGGCTCCAACCAGCCAGCCAAGCTCTCGCCCATGCGGCCCGTGGTCCCCCGTCTGGGCAGCGGTCCGGTCTGGGTGCTCCCCTCTGGGCTCCCCGTGGCTGAGGGCGAGAAACAGAGAGCAGGTTAAAGGTCAGGCGAGCTGTCCAGCATGAGGACCCGGGGTCGGACTCGGGACATCTCCACGCAACCTGCCATCTGCCCCCCTGCCCGGGTCTCCCCTCCTGTCCCGAGAAAGCTCCCCTCCCCGAGGAAGGCCTCCTGGCTGCACGACTCCCAGGGCCTCCCTCCGTGGAGTGGAGTGGACCCTCCCCCTCGGGTGGTGGTGTCTGTGGGGTCCCGCCCTCTGGCCCGTCTGGGACTGGGACTCGCTCCCCACCTGTGGGGCCTGTGTGGGGGAGCGTTGGGCTGCGATTCCCAGGGGGACCGGCGGCTTTTATGTATGTGTGTGACTTAGCCAGATCCGGGGTCCCCGGGGACCGGCTTAGCTGTAAAGCTGGGGCCTCGGATAACGAGACGCCCCCGCGGAGGGGGGTCATCCAAGTGGCACAGCCCGAAGCAAACACCCCTAAGCCGGCCCGGTGGCCTGGTGACGAGCCGAGAGCTTTGCAAGGCCAGGCGTTGGAGGAACCAGATGTCCCGGGACCCTCCTTCCATCGCTGACCTCCGGGAGGCGGGGGCCCTACGCCTGGGGGGCCTTGTCCTGCCAAGCCCGGCTGGAGGAGGAGGAGGAGGAGGAGGGAGGCGGGGCCAGTGGGAGGGGCCGAGGAAGCCCAAAACAGCCGGCCGCGGTGACCTACATCTGCCCCAGCCCTGCCCGTCCACCTCAGTCCCTGCAGAGCCTCAGGCCGGAGCGGCAGCTGGACGCGGAGGAGGAGGCGGAGGAGGAGGAGGTGGACAGGAGGTGGGAGGCCAGCTGTGTGCACAGGTGAGTGGGCCCTGCCCACCTGGCTGCCCACCTGGGGTGGGGGCCGGGCACCGAGGTGGACACCTGAGTGCTCTCCAGCCTGTCCCCTGGCGAAGGGGTGGGCAGAGGGCAGGAGGTTCGCCCGGGGACATCCCCTGGCGGCCAGTCACGCCCCGGGGTGCGTGGTCCCCCGTCTGGGCAGCGGTCCGGTCTGGGTGCTCCCCTCTGGGCTCCCCGTGGCTGAGGGCGAGAAACAGAGAGCAGGTTAAAGGTCAGGCGAGCTGTCCAGCATGAGGACCCGGGGTCGGACTCGGGACATCTCCACG